ATGTGGAGAGCTCACATTTCCCAATTTTAAAACTTACTACAAAGCTGCAATGTCAAAACAGTGTGGTCGACATAAGGATAGACATATAGATCAAAGGAATAGAGTCCAGTAGTAAACTGTACATCTATGGTCAATGGATTTTCTCAAATCAAATTAAAAAATTAATTCAAAATGGATCAAAGATCTAAGTGTAATAGCTCAAACTATAAAATGTTAAGAGAGAACATAGGTGTTAATCTTCATGATCTTGCATTAGGCAAAGGTTTCGTAAATGACACCAAAAGAGCAAGCAATAACAACAAAAATATAGATAAATTAGACTTCATCAGAATTAAAGCTTTTGCCCGTCAAAGGACACTATGAACTTGCTGTACACCTGAAACTAACACAATATTGTAAATCAACTATACTCCAATGAAAATTTTTTTTGGCTTCGCTGGTGGTACGGTGGTTGGGAGTCCGCCTGTAGCTGCAGGGGACATGGGTTCATGCCCCGGTCTGGGAGGATCCCACATGCCGTGGAGCGGCTGGGCCTGTGAGCCATGGCCACCAAGCCTGCGCGTCCAGAGCCTGTGCTCTGGAGAGGCCACAACAGTGAGAGGCCTGCGTACCACAAAAAAAGAAAATAAATTTTTAAAAGGACACTGTGAAAAAAAGTGAAAAGACTAAAAACAGAATGGAAAAAAATATTTACAAATTATATATCTGGTAATAGTGTAGTATCTATATTATTCAAAGAACTCTGTTACAACCCAACAATAAAAAAGACAACTCAATTTTAAAATGGGCAAAGGGGGACTTCGCTCGTGGCAAAGTGGTTAAGAATCTGCCTGCCTGTGCAGGGGACACAGGTTCGAGCCCTGGTCAGGGAAGATCCCACATGCCACGGAGCAAATAAGCCCATGCACCACAACTATGGAGCCTGTGCCCTAGAGCCCACGAGCCACAACTACTGAAGCCCACGTGCCTAGAGCCCATGCTCCACAACAAGACAAGCCACTGCAATGAGAAGCCCATGCACTGCAACGAAATAGAGCCCGCTCACCGCAACTAGAGAAAGCCCATGTGCAGCAACGAAGACCCAATGCAGCCAAAAATTAATTAATTAATTAATTAATTAAAATAAAATGGACAAAGGATTTGAGTAGACATTTCTCCAAAGAAGATCTACAAATGGCCAATAAGCACATCAAAATGTTCTCAACATCATTAGTCATCAGGGAAATTCAAGTCTAAACCACAATGAGATTCTACTTAATACCCACCATGATGGCTATAATAATTATTATTTTTAAAAAATGATAACAAGTTTTGGTAAGGATGTAGAGGAATTGTAACCCTCATAATATTGTTGGTGGGAATGTAAGATGGTGCAGCTGTTTTGGAAAGAGTTTGGAATTTCCTCAAAAAGTTAAACATAGAGTCACCATATAACCCAGCAATTCCACTGCTAGGTATATACTCAAGAGAAATGAAAACACATGTTCATACAAAAACTTGTATACAAGTGTTCACAGTAACATTATTCGTATTGGCCAAAAAGTGGAAACAGTCCAATGTCCAACAATTGATAACGGGTAAACAAAATGAGGTATATCCATACAATATTATTCAGTCATAAAAAAGGGAAATACCGATACATGCATGAACCTTGAAAACATTATGTTAAGTGAAAGAAACCAGATTCAAACGACCACATGTTATACGATTCCATTTATATGAAATGTCCAAAATAGACAAATCTATAGACACAGAAAGTAGATTAACATCTGCCAGAGGCTGTGGGGATCGGGAGTAGAGAATGATATCTAATGAGTACAGTGTGTCGTTTTGGGGTGATAAAAATGTCCTGGAAATAAATCATGGTGATAGTTACACAAGCTTGTGAATATATTAAAAACCATTGAACTGTTCACTTTAAAACAGTGGGTTTAATAGTCAATGAATTATGGGACTTCCCTGGTGGTGCAGTGGTTAAGAATCCACCTGCCAATGCAGGGGACACGGGTTCAAGCCCTGGTCCAGGAAGATCCCACATACCGCGGAGCAGCTAAGCCTGTGTGCCACAGCTACTGAGCCTGCGCTCTGGAGCCCGAGAGCCACAGCTACTGAAGCCCACAAGCTCTGCAACAAGAGAAGCCACCGCAATGAGAAGCCTGTGCATCGCAACAAAGAGTATCCCCGCTCGCTGCAACTAGAGAAAAGCTCTCGTGCAACAACGAAGACACAACGCAGCCAAAAATTTAAAAATTAATTAATTAAAATAAATAAATTTTTTAAAATAGTGAATTATATCTTAATAAAAATTTTGGGCTTCCCTGGTGGCGCAGTGGTCCGCCTGCCGATGCAGGGGACGCGGGTTCATGCCCCGGTCTGGGAGGATCCCGCGTGCCGCGGATGGCCAATAAGCACATCAAAATGTTCTCAACATCATTAGTCATCAGGGAAATTCAAGTCTAAACCACAATGAGATTCTACTTAATACCCACCATGATGGCTATAATAATTATTATTTTTAAAAAATGATAACAAGTTTTGGTAAGGATGTAGAGGAATTGTAACCCTCATAATATTGTTGGTGGGAATGTAAGATGGTGCAGCTGTTTTGGAAAGAGTTTGGAATTTCCTCAAAAAGTTAAACATAGAGTCACCATATAACCCAGCAATTCCACTGCTAGGTATATACTCAAGAGAAATGAAAACACATGTTCATACAAAAACTTGTATACAAGTGTTCACAGTAACATTATTCGTATTGGCCAAAAAGTGGAAACAGTCCAATGTCCAACAATTGATAACGGGTAAACAAAATGAGGTATATCCATACAATATTATTCAGTCATAAAAAAGGGAAATACCGATACATGCATGAACCTTGAAAACATTATGTTAAGTGAAAGAAACCAGATTCAAACGACCACATGTTATACGATTCCATTTATATGAAATGTCCAAAATAGACAAATCTATAGACACAGAAAGTAGATTAACATCTGCCAGAGGCTGTGGGGATCGGGAGTAGAGAATGATATCTAATGAGTACAGTGTGTCGTTTTGGGGTGATAAAAATGTCCTGGAAATAAATCATGGTGATAGTTACACAAGCTTGTGAATATATTAAAGACCATTGAACTGTTCACTTTAAAACAGTGGGTTTAATAGTCAATGAATTATGGGACTTCCCTGGTGGTGCAGTGGTTAAGAATCCACCTGCCAATGCAGGGGACACGGGTTCAAGCCCTGGTCCAGGAAGATCCCACATACCGCGGAGCAGCTAAGCCTGTGTGCCACAGCTACTGAGCCTGCGCTCTGGAGCCCGAGAGCCACAGCTACTGAAGCCCACAAGCTCTGCAACAAGAGAAGCCACCGCAATGAGAAGCCTGTGCATCGCAACAAAGAGTATCCCCGCTCGCTGCAACTAGAGAAAAGCTCTCGTGCAACAACGAAGACACAACGCAGCCAAAAATTTAAAAATTAATTAATTAAAATAAATAAATTTTTTAAAATAGTGAATTATATCTTAATAAAAATTTTGGGCTTCCCTGGTGGCGCAGTGGTCCGCCTGCCGATGCAGGGGACGCGGGTTCATGCCCCGGTCTGGGAGGATCCCGCGTGCCGCGGAGCGGCTGGGCCCGTGAGCCATGGCTGCTGAGCCTGCGCGTCCGGAGCCTGTGCTCCGCAACGGGAGAGGCCACGACAGTGAGAGGCCCGCGTACTGCAAAAAAAAAAAAAAAAAATTTTATTTTTCTTTTTAAAAAGAGGAAGTCTTGCACAGACCAATGATGAAAATAAATTCAGGAGTGAAACTCAAACCTCTGTGTCTAGAGAACAGATAGGAATATTGATAAAATTCTGTTTGAGAAAGCATGTGTGGAAAAAGTGTCTCTCATACACCACTGCTGTCAGTATGAACTGTCACATTCATTTAAGTAAGCAATTTAGTAATTATAAATAAATACATAAATAAAGTACATAGCCTATGATCCAAAATTTTCATCTGTAGGAATCTAAAATCAAAGTGTGGCTGGAACAGTTAGCACTCAGTGAATGTTCTTTCTTATTTTAAAGGTGATAATCATAGAAAGAGAGAATATATTATGCAATAAATTCCTACAGCCGAATTCAGCTCCCACCTCTGCTTCTTTCTGGAAAAAAATAAGACAGTGTTCATATCATATATATGGTATGATAATGAAATTTCTGCTCTTTCAATCTTTGCAAGCTGCATAAAGTGGAAAGCAAAATTCTCTCCTAAAATAGACGGTCATTTCTAGAGATGCTGGGCATATACTAAAAGAAGAGATACAGAGTTTCGTGTATAGTTCCAGCCTCTTGATAAAAGGGATACAGTGAGATAGGACTGGGGAAGAGTGCAGGGGCGTAGGAAACAGAGCTTGAGTCTCAGCCTAACCCCATGAGGCTGCAAAAAACGCCAAGAAATATTCACAGTGACTAACGCCTGAAGCCTCATAAAAATCAGCAGTGACTATGCAGCAGGTGACAAACTCAATCACTACTGACAGAAGTGCCTTAAAGAACCTATATCTGTTTTTCCTTTAATTCTTTCTCCAAATGGTGATTCCCTTGATATACGGCATTATTGTTTGTAAACTCTGCACTTTGTTCATCAAATAAAGAGTTCTATCAATACAAAAAAAAAAAAAAAGCCCAAGAAGAGGAATATCATGTCAGTCTGTATTTTCCAATGCATCATACCCAGGCTTTCAGCCCATGAAGACATACCCTGAAGTCAACTTGCCCAAGTTGCAGGAAAAGGACCAAGCAGAGAGAAATAGCTTCGGAAATCCAGCCAATAACCCAAAGTGTGTTACAGGACAGGATGCTCTTTTCATTGACACTCCTCTGGAGCTGGTCCTCTGGAAGCAGGGAGTATCTGTCAGCCCACCTGCCACTACCCCCCAGATCCCACCCTCCCTCCTATCCTGTGTGGTGAGATATGGTGGGGAGACAGGGATTGTGACATAAGCAAATGGCCTGGAACTGATCTATGTAAATGCCAGCCGTGAGCTTCCTAGCAGAGACACCGCCTGTGAAGGCCTCACAACAGCCAACTTCTTGAAACCTCCAAGCTGACTCCTTCATCCAGGGGAGGAGGGACCCCTCCACGGGAGAACTGACAGCAGGACCCTGGTAGAGGAGGCACCAAGAGCTCCAGGGAGCGGGTGGCAATCGTGTAGGCGCCATGGAGACTGCCATGTGTGTTTGCTCTCCATGTTGTACATGGCACAGGTGTCCCCGCTTATGCTCCTGTCTGTGCTGCAAGTTCCTCTTCACCTCGGAGCGGAACTGCACCTGCTTTCCCTGCCCTTACAAGGATGAGCGCGACTGCCAATGCTGCCACTGCACCTGCTCCGAGAGCCCCAACTGCCACTTCTGCTGCTGCTCCTGGGCCAATGACCCTGACTGTAAGTGCTGCTGTACAGCCAGCAGCAACCTCAAGTGCCACTACTACGAGAGCCGCTGCTGCCGCAATGTCACCATCACGTTCCGCAGGAGCCGCCTCCAGAGCATCCGTAACTTGTAAGTGCCGCGCGGGGGGGCCCCCCCACCAGTTTTCCTGAGCCCCGGCACCCCCTGCCAGCTGTGGGAACAGGGCAGGTCAGAAGCCCCACCCCAATTCCACCTCTTTATCTGAAAAAAGGAGGCCAGGAACTTGGGAGCAATTAACTCTAGTTGCAATATGTCTTGGTGCAAATATATTATATAGTCATTGTATGGTGAGAGTTGGTAACTAGACATCGTGATGATCTTTTTGAAATGTATAGAAATAGCAACTCACTACGTTGTGTAACAGGAACTAACACAGTGTTGTAGGTCAATTACTCTTCAAAAACAAACAAACTCATAGGAAAAGATCAGATGTGTGATTACCAGAGGCAGGGGGTAGGGGTGGGGCATTGGATGAGGGCAGCCAAAAGGTACAGACTTCCAGTTATGATAGATAGGTTACTAGAGATGTGATGTACCACAGGATATATATAATGAACGCTGCTGTCAGTTATATATGAAAGTTAAGAGAATAAATCCTTATTATAATTTATTTCTTAGCCCAAGAAAAAAAATTTTAATTTTTTATTTTTTTCTATTTCTTTAATTTTGTATCTGTATGAGTTGATAGATGTTCATTAAACTTACTGTGATAATCACTGTGTGGTGTTTGTAAATCAAATCATTATGTTGTACACCTTAAACTTATACAGTGCTATATGTCAATTATATCTCAATAAAACTAGAAGAAAAAAGAGCTAAAAAATAATATAAAGTCTGTTTTGCACTTAATGTAACACTAAAAACATATATTCAATGGTGATATTATTTTAAATATTTTTTGTGTTTCAAAATGTAGCAAAAAAATTTACCTCAACTGTAAAAAAAAAAAAAAAAACCCTACACTTTGTAGCAATTAAGTGTACATGTCCTAAACAGTCACTAATCAGTATAGACCTGAGTTGCAAATCCAAGCTCCCCCAGCTGTGTGAGTGAGTGCTGAGCTCTCCTGAACCCCACCACTCTCACCTCTACAAAATACTAATAGCTAATACTTAGCGCATAAGCAACTTGCCGGGAACCACATGCGTGACCCCAGGTAACCCCTACCTCATGCCCATCACACCAGTGAAGAAACTGAGCATTTGAGAGGTTGAGTGGCCCAAGATCACACAACTAGTAAGATGCAGTCAGAATTTGAACCCAGAGTCTGTGTGCTTAAATTAAAATGCTGTCCTGCAAAATAGAGAGTATGGTACCTGCAATGATTCAGGGGCTTAATATTGCTTTGAAACCTGTTATGTGATATAAAAATATAAATTGCCCTTCCTCCTCTGAACCCTTGATATCTGCAACACTCATTGGAAAAGCAGTAACTTCCACAGGCCGCTTTCGACCCCTATGGCCTGTGTAAGTACCCCAGGTGGCCATGAGCTCCTGCCAGCCTTCTCTTTGTTCCTACCCAGAAGTCATGGCACTGAGGGTCTCAATTTCTCACTTAGGGCATTAACCCTCTGTGTCAGGCACTGCATAGCCTCTTCCTGCCCTGACCAAGGTCACACATGAGGGGCATCTGGAATAGCAGAGGCAGACTTCTTAGAGGGGAAAGACCAAAACTCAGCACTCTAAGATGACAGCACCTGGAGAGGCGGAAAGATGAGAGGCAGATTGGAAGCCTTTCAAGGCTGGAAAAACAATTCTGTGAGCAAACGCTCCGTGAATTCAGGGGAAGAATATGATCTCTCTCACAGTTCAGCACTTTGTAGCTGGTTAATAAAAATTACTCTCAGCTCATGGACCTCACGTGGTGTTTGCACGAACAGAGAACCCAGGGGTTCTGGATGCAAGTGCAGAAGTTCTAAGGTGCAGAAAGTAACTCACACACCCCTCTCTCCTCTCAACTGCCCCATTTCCTGCACATCAGTAATGAAGAGTCACCAAGCCCATTTCAACAGGGGAAGGATGACACTGGTGCTTTGGAGATGCTTAGACCAGTAGCTGCCAAACGTTGTTTTGCATTAGAATCACCTGGGGATCTTTAAAAACTACTGATGCCTGGCCCCCACCCCCAGACATTCTGATTTCATTGGCTTCAGGTATGTCCTGGGCATCAGAATTTTAAAAAAATCTCTCCTGCCCCCAGGTGACGCTAAAGTGCAGAATGGCCTGGAGGGAACAAGAAGGGAAGCCAGGAGACTTGCCAGGTGATATATGGGAACCCAAGTACAAGGGGAACAGCCCTAAATTTGGGAGGAGGCTGCCACTGTACAGAGGAGCAGAGGCCAGTTATCTCAACAAAAAGACAAGGCTGCTGAGCTTGGTGATGGTTTTGGCGTGGAATCATGACCACTGAATGCCCAAGTCCAAGCCTGAGGCCTTCTGATGCTGGTCAGAGATGCTATTGCAAGTGTCAGGGGGTTGGCGCTGGGTACGCTGAGGCTTATCTTCCACCTGGCCTCTCTCCTGGTGTCTGGGCCCACCGCCTCCCCCATTCCTCGTCACTGCTTCCTTCTCAGCATTTTCCTCATCCTGCCTCACTCTGATCTCATTCATCCCCCTTTGCTTTACTCATCTCTTTTTCTCACTTCCTTTTTCACCTTCACCCCAACTCCCTGGGCCATTAACACCTGTCTCTTCTCCCTGTTCTCTCTTTCTCTTTCCCCAGCACCCTCCTCCCTCCCTCCTTCTTTCTGATTTCCCATGCTGTCTCCCTTTATATTACACACTGATTCCCATAGCCCCACCTTATGAAACTAGAGAAATCCACCCAGCTCTCATGTATACACCTGCCCTTCCCCTCCAGATGACCCCTCCAAAGCTGGAGCAGGAGAAAGCAGAGAGGCTGGGAAAGCAGAGAAGGAACAAAGCTGAGAACATTGAGTCTGGCAGGCTTGGACAGCAGCATGCAAATCTCTAAGGGATGAGCTTTCCAGGTGCCCGAGTCTCCATAACCGGCACTGTCCCCATGGTGCCACTCCCTTCCAACATGTTTGAGTATCACCCTTGACTACCTGGGCTCTGAGACCTGGGTCCCTGGCCAAGGGAATGGGGAAGGATCCAGAGGCATATAGGGACTGCAGGAAGGCAAAAGAGAACACAGGCACAATGTCAAACACAACCCCTAGACATCACTAATACAACCAGAGAAGAAGGGATAGGAATAGTCACAAAATCAGTATGTTTTTTTTAACATCTTTATTGGAGTATAATTGCTTTACAATGGTGTGTTAGTTTCTGCTGTATAACAACGTGAATCAGCTATACATATACATATATCCCCATATGCCTTCCCTCTTGCGTCTCCCTCCCACCCTCCCTATCCCACCCCTCTAGGTGGTCACAAAGCACCGAGCTGATCTCCCTGTGCTATGCGGCTGCTTCCCACTAGCTATCTATTTTACATGTGATAGTGTATATATGTCCTTGCCACTCTCTCACTTCGTCCCAGCTTACCCTGCTGCCTCCCCATATCCTCAAGTCCATTCTCTACATCTGCGTCTTTATTCCTGTGCTGCCCCTAGGTTCTTCAGAACCATTGTTTTTTTCTGGATCCCATATATATGTGTTAGCATACGGTATTTGTTTTCCTCTTTCTGACTTACTTCACTCTGTATGACAGACTCTAGGTCCAAATAAGTATGTTTTATACCTCCATCCCCATGGCTAATTCATTTATTTTCATAAACTGCTTTTGCCCTGATTGTAGCTTCTTAGAACATGCACTTGAAATTTTACAAGTATGTACTTACTTCATCCATAGTTCTTACAATATATGAAATCAGCCTCAGATATTAGACAAAGATTCAACACACACACACACACACACACACACACACACACACACACACACACACACCGTACAAGCACATACTTTTCATAGACTTGACCACTGTTTTCCCCTGCTGTGGACATGAGCTGGCTAGGAACACAGGGGAGTCACTATAGTGGCCATTTATTGAATGCTTACTATGTCCAGGCACTTAAGCACTTATCGTGGATTATCTCATGGAGACTTTAAAATCCTCATGAAGGAAGCAATATTGTGAGCTTTGATTTACTGAGGATGAGAGAGGTGAAGAAACTTATCTCCAAAGCGCAACTCTAAAGCAGCGCATTTCACCATGTGCAACCTGCCCCTAGCACCTAGCCCCTTAAGTCATAGCTGAGGTCTGGTGATCAGAGCACACGGGTTCTGGGCTTGGCTGGGCAACTAACCTCCTGGTGTCCTGTGAAGAACACTTTGCCCATCTTCTTCTATGTTCCATCTCACACACAATAAACATGTCAGTGCCCAGAGGAGACTGGATTAACTGGCCCAGTGCGACAAGTGAGAGATACACCACGAGCAAGTGTGAGGTGTCTCTGTAAGAAGGCATCACTAAGTTATTACAGGATTTAGGCTCATGTTAGGTGAGGACACAGGGGTAAATCTCCTATTAGGTATCTTAATAAATCTTGCCCAGAAGGTGGGAAGAACAGAGTAGAGCCTGATGCTGCAACCGGTGAAAAAGCAGCAGTCACTGTCCTTAACCAGGACAGGGGATGTTTGATCATTTTTGTGGTTTGGACAATGTTCTTGCTTTTGTGTGAAGCAAGCATGAGGAAGTGGTCTTGTTTCTGTTTTGCTCCATCACAGTCCCAGAATGGCCTTGTCTGCTGTGGGTGTTCTGTGATGTTATCCAGGGCCAACAGAACCCCAAGACCCAGCTGACAGTGCCAGCCCCTCTGGACTGTTTTTCTCTTGCTCAAGAAATAACAAGCAGTTGTATCGCACTTACTGTGTTCCAGGAACTGCTCTAAGGCCGTGAAGGTATTTAATTCAATTTTAATTTTCTCAAGAAACTCTTATCAGGTGAGTACTAATTTTATAATGAGGAGAGAGGCAGAGAGAGGTTAATTAACTTACCTGGCGTCGCCCAGCTAAAGGATGGTGGAGGGGGGGGTTAGAACCCAGGCACCATCCCCCCGCTCCCGCCCCCACCCCGGCACAGCCATGCCCCTCCCCATCACACCACAAAGCGGCTCAGTGACACCCCGGTTCCTTCCGAGGTGGAGAAACGGAGCTCTCCGCCTGAGGTCCCGTGTTTGCTTCCCCTTGCAGCTCCAAGACGGCCCTGCGCATCGGGATCAGCGACGCGCAGCTGGATAAGGTGAAGATGATGCCCGCGAAAAGCAACCTGGTCAGCCACCTGTCGTGCCCCATCTGCAGCCGGCTGCGCCTGCACTCCTTCATTCTACCCTGCCACCACAGCCTGTGCGAGAAGTGCCTGCGGCAGCTGCAGAAACACGCCGAGGTCACCGAGAATTTCTTCATCCTCATCTGCCCCGTGTGCAACCGCTCGCACTGCATGCCCTACAGCCACAAGATGCTGCTGCCCGAGAACTACCTGCGCGGACGCCTCACCAAGCGCTACATGCAGCAGCATGGCTACCTCAGGTGGCGCTTCGACCGCTCCAGCGGGCCTATCGTCTGCCAGGTCTGCCGCAACCGCCGCATCGCCTACAAGCGCTGCATCACCTGCCGCCTCAACCTGTGCAACGAGTGCCTCAAGACCTTCCACTCGGACGTGACCATGCAGGACCACGTGTTCGTGGACACCAGCACCGAGGACCAGGACGAGAAGATCTGCATCCACCACCCGTCCAGCCGCATCATTGAGTACTGCCGGAACGACGACGAGTTGCTCTGCAGCTTCTGCAAGACTGCCTTACACAATGGCCACGACACCATCAGCCTCATGGATGCCTGCTCCGAGAGGGCTGCCGCGCTCTTCAGCGCCATCGCCAAGTTCAAAGCAGGTCCTGGTCCCCTCTTCTCCCTCCACCACTCCTAGCTCAGGAACTGATGGGGAAGGTGATTTGGGAGGATCTGTTTAGAGAGCCTTACCTCCACCTGGTGGGGCAGTCCAAGCCCTGGGAGACACTGAGCCAGGCTGCAAGTCAGTGGCCTGGAATCCACATCTGGCAACTACCGCCAGCCACTTAACCTCCCTGTGCCTTGGTTTTCTCATCTATAAAATGGGGATAATGGTGTTACCCAATGCAAGTTCGTGTGCCCGGCACACAGTGGGGCCAAACAAACTGACAATAGGTTGGAGTTTGGAGCAGAGAAAGATTTATTGCAGGGTCAGGCAAGGAGACAGGTGGCTCCTGTCCCCCAAAACCCCAAGCTCTGGGAGGGGTTTCAGCAAGGCACTTTTAAAAGCAAGGTGAGGGAGGGGTCAGGTTGGTTGCTGCAAGCTTCTTGGTGTCTGTATCCTTTGTTCTTGCAGCTGTCCACATAGGTCAGGTCACGATGTTCCTGCAAACCTCCAACAAGACAAATGTTATTCTCTGTTCTGCAACTTTTTATCTCTATGTGAATGGACTTTTAAAGATGGGACCCTTGAGAATAGGCTACCCTGAATATTTCAGGCTATAGGCAACATTCTTTTACAAAAGGTGCAGAGCCTGCAGGACTAACCACATGTTAACAAAGCACAAAGGTTAAAGCAAAAGGAACAGATCTAATACGATGTCAGATTTGTTCTTCCCTGAACAATTTGTTCTTTCCTCATTGGGTGGTTGTGAGGATTAAATGAGATACTCTAACTGAGGCATGCAAAAAACGATCTAGCACATCATAAGTACATAAAGATTCTATAATCTTGGTTATAATTTTCATGACCTTGGGCCTCATTTCCTCCTTTGGAGAAGTAAGAGCTTGATCCTGTAGTACCCTGAAGTTCTGTGAGCCTTTCTAAGGTGTTTTGTCCCTAAAGATGGATTTCTTCAGTATCTTCCCAATTTAAAGGGGAAAAGAATCAAGTCGATGCTGAGAGTTACCTCAGTTTTAAATATCCCCTGAAGGTGCAAGCAGCACAGTAAAGGAACTGATAGCAAACACATAATAATGGGAAAACCCAGAAATAGCCAGTAATGTTGTAGTCAACAGCTCGCTTTTCCTCTGCATGCCTGCCCATGGTTATTTTATGTTGGCTACATATAATATAGTTATAGTTTCTATAAGGGAAACTGACTCAGGTTTTCATGATGGAACCCAGTACAGTGATATTTTACAGGGTTCAGCAAGGAGCCCAATAATTTCTGGGTGTATATCCACCAGTTTAGACATGAGGATCTCAGGGATCCTTTTAGGCTCTTTGCCCCTGGGAATAGCTTCCTTGAACAGAGGCCTAGTTTACCGGGGCCTTTTAGAGGACTTATGTCTAATCCTCTCCATAATCCTACAGTACAGGCACTAATATTCCCCTCCAGGATAGACAACTGGGATTCCAAGAAGGAACTGGCACAAGTCCCCTAGTAAATGGCAGAGCCGGTCTCTCTGACTCCAAAGCCCATGTTAATTCCACAACATTCATTTGACAAACTATTCTGCTAAACAGTGACCAGAATCTAAAGATAAAGAGATTGAAAAACAATGGGAACCACCACCACACCTGTGGTCTGTTTCCCTACGTGGTGGCCTAGAGTCAAATGACCAGCATGCTCCAGATCAACCCAGCCTCTCCCCTGTCAGAAATTTCAGTGTCCATACAAACAGGTCTGAACAGATTGACAAGGGGGCAGCTTTCCGTTGAGCTGCACAGGAAGGTCCCATTGGCCATAGAAGTGGGTCAGGGACAGACTTTGCTAAATATGTCCCCCAGGACCTCTCACCAGCATGCATATTTCAGAAAAAACTTGATTTCTCAATTGCTCCATGCCTAGAAACATTGTTTGTCAATTGACACTTATTCAATTTGGGAACAGCACCAGGGAAGCCCCTATATTAAAGAAAGCCTACAGGAGCCGTGTTGCCAGGCCAATGGAAGCCCCCATTGGTTCCTAGAGGGTTTTCTTAAGGCGGGACCCATGGCCTGAGCTTGGCTGGATCCTTTTTTAAGTACCCCAGGTGATTCTGGGGTCACAGAGGACTGAGAAGGGCAACTGGAGCAATTAAGAACATAGGCTCTGGAGTTAGATAAATAGAATTAGGGCCAGGCCCTGGGTCCTTCTAGTTACTTGCTGTGTGACACTGGGCAGTCATTTAACCTCTCTGAGCCTTAGTGTCCTCATCTATAACTGGAAACAACATCTTCCTCTTCTGAAGTTATATGTAATGTATTGATAATATATAGATACGATCCATATGTGTGATACATGATAATGTATGGATTGGATCTATATAAACGTTTAATAAATAGTAGCTAGTTTTGGGCTTCCCTGGTGGCGCAGTGGCTGAGAGTCTGCCTGCCAATGCAGGGGACATGGGCTCGTGCCCCAGTCCGGGAAGATCCCACATGCCGCGGAGCGGCTGGGCCTGTGAGCCACGGCCGCTGAGCCTGCGCGTCCGGAGCCTGTGCTCCACCACGGGAGAGGCCACAGCAGTGAGGGGCCCGTGTACCGCAAAAAAAAAAAAAAAAAAAAAAAATAGTAGCTAGTTTTAAATATAGTGCCTGAAAGAGACCTTGCTTTGGCTTTGTTCTAAGACCAGCTCTTGCAAAACTGCTGTATTTGTAAGGGGCATCTTCCCCCTCATCTAAGACATTTTTATCCTACCTCTCCAGACTCAGCTCTAAGGAGCCTAACTAATCCCTAATAAAGCAAAGAATTTCCTATTCAGATTTCTTCTAACAGTGAGTAACTATTGAAGAGTCAAAGGAATTAATGTATAACATGGAATTTCAGGGGCCCTAGGTCACAGCAGGGCTTGCACGTGGAGAGGGCAGGGAGCATTTCTCAGCACCACTGCAATCACATCCTGACAGTCTCCTGTTCAGCCCCCATCTGTATTGCCTCCCCATCCCTTCTGGGTCAGTGTGAGGGAGGAGGTGAGCAGAGGAAATGGGGGCTTCAGAAAGCAGGCCAGAGAGCAGCACTGCTGACGTTCACCCCAAAGATGTTAGAAAACAGGGCAGAATGGCTTTCACTCAACAAACACCATTCTAGCACGTCTACACATCCTAGTCACGGTGGTAACTGAGACAGCTGTGGCCCTGTTCTCATGGTCTGCCAGAACCCGAGGGTTTCTCTTACTGTAATGCACATCTCTGTGCCACCACCCACGGAGATCCAACTTACTGTGGACCCAGGGCTATGTTAAGAAACATGACTTGGTCACCCCCACTGCTGAGTAAAATTTGGAGAGGATTATAGCCCATCAAATCACTGCAGAGTCAGCCTTTCATGGGGAGGACCTTACCGCTAGAGTAGGCCACAGAAGGTTGACATGTCTTGAAATCACTGCCTAATGCCTAAGACCCTATAACTGGCAACTGTGAAGTTGCCATTTCACAGACAGAGGTGGCCCACATGCTCATCCTGCCCCAGCATCTTCCACACTGCAGTATCGTTGGGTTTATGCGTGCCTGGAACATCAGTGGCCTCTCACACTCATATCTGTATCCCTAGAGCCTAGAAAAGCACGTGACATGGAACAGGTGTCACATGTTTGTTGAATGACTGAGTGAACTTAAAATCCAAATGCCATGTGAGAGGCGGTAGGATAAACACGGTTTTCCTTGAAGTGTAACAGCAGATGCTTTCTGGAAAGTAAGTGGGGAGTAAGAAAGAGAAGGAGCCCAGCTGAACCCAAGAGAGTCAAAGTCCCCAGCAGAGAAAAAAAACATGTCAAAGAGCAGCCACAATGAAGGGGAACTTTGCTGATCTGCCACCATTGTCTAGGGCTGGGTTTTGGTGAACAAGGCAAGGCAGTATTTAGAAGTAGTCATCAGAAATTTAGTTCTTTCTCCCACCCCTGCAAAAGCTTAAGTTTTCACACAGGGAAAATCCACCACTTTGTGACATCATCTCTTCTCAAGTCCAACTTGCTGACAAGTGAAGTCTGGTGAAAACTAATATCAAAGGTGGTCTTGAACTCCCAACTTTAGACCCAAGGCTGCAGGGATTACTAGATAGAAGTATGCCAGGGAAGGATGGTTGTCCTACCCAAGGGAAGAATTACACAAGGAGAAAGAGAGGGGTGTATAGAGAGAGGCCACATTCATTTTATAAACCTATGCTAGCATCTTTCAGCCCAGCAACAAGTGGTTTCCCTCCCTTTCCACTCACATCTTTGAAGCCCAAGTTAGTTTGCTCCAGTTTGCCACTGGCTCTGACATCTGGGTAAATGAAAAATTTAACTGAAGTAACTCACTTGGTTGTTTTGCAGTCCGATATGAAATTGATAATGACCTCATGGAATTCAACATTTTAAAAAACAGCTTTAAAGCTGACAAGGAGGTAAAGCGAAAAGAGATCAGAAATGGATTCCTCAAGCTGCGCAGCATTCTCCAGGAGAAAGAGAAAACCATCATGGAGCAGATAGAGAATCTGGAAGTGTCCAGGCAGAAGGAGATTGAAAAATATGTGTACGTCACCACCATGAAAGTGAACGAAATGGGTGGCCTGATCGCCTACTCCAAGGAAGCACTGAAGGAGACAGGCCAAGTGGCGTTCCTGCAGTCGGCCAAGATTCTGGTGGACCAGATCGAGGACGGCATCCAGAGCACCTACAGGCCAGACCCACAGCTCCGGCTACACTCCTTGAACTGCATGCCCTTGGACTTTGCTGAGCTCTCCAATGCCATCCACGAACTCTTCCCCACAGGGCCCAAGAAGGTGTGCTCCTCAGGGAACTCCCTGCCATCACCCTATCCCCTGCACTCAGAAATGATGATTACCAGGAAGGTCACTTTCAGCACCCACAGCTTCGGCAACCAGCAGATATACCAGCGAAGCTCCTCCTTATTGTCCTTTAATGCCCCCAGCTGTGAGAAGACCAAAATGGGTCTGGAGGCCTATGGGCGAGCCCAGTCAGCTGAACCTGCCAAGCCCACAGACAGCCTCTACACTTACTGGAGTGCAGGGGTAGAAAACCAGCCTGTGCAGAACAGCAGCAGCTTCCACAACTGGTACTCGTTCAATGATAGCTCCCTGAAGACTCCAGGCCCAATTCTTATCTACCAGACTCTGGTGTATCCGAGAGCTGCCAAGGTAAGAAAGGCTCTGGGCCCTGTAGGGAAGATAGGAGGGTGTGGGCTATGGAATGGAGCGGGGTAGTCAGGAAAGGTTGCACTTGCTTGTTTGCCCTCTAGGGTCCGGTCACTCAAATCTGTTCCTCTAGACTCTGTGGTCAGTCCATTCAAAAGGGATAAGTTCCCGAAATCTTAAGTAGCCCAAGATTGTTTTAAACCAAACAATGTATTTAACTCACAGCCAGAAGTACATCTGAAAGCCCCAACTCCACTTCAAAGGCAGCTTCTCTATTGAAAGAGAACACAATTTGGGAAACAAAGTAATTTGAAGAGACTTCTTGGAGAGGGTAATATTTCCCAGAGGAAAACCTGTAACAGTAGAGGGAGCACAGAAATTGGAATTAGAAAAGCAGGCTCCGTTGTCTATCAGCTGTGATTCCTCTAAACTGCTACTTCTTCTAAGAAAATATCCAGACTCTTCATGATTTGGAAAGATTAGAAGGATAATCCCCAATGGAATTCCAATTCTTATCTCCCGAGATTCAGCTTTTTGGGGAAGGGGGGTGTGGCATTGGAGGTGTGTGGATGTCTCACAGACCTCTACATCTGCCATCACCCAGCTTCAGGGGACATGACTCTTCTTTGACCTTCTAGGCCTAACATGAACAAATGGTGCATCTCTTAACATTCCTTTCAAATCCAGCTGAACCTAAATTGAATTGTTTATAGAATGTTTTATTAAAGTCCAGGGAGGAAAAAAGATATTCTATCAGATCATATCTTGCCTCCTCTTGGGGTCCTACAGGGATATCTCCCAAGCCAACCCACTGCCTGCTTCCATGTGGCAGAGCCCATCTTTTGTCTCCATGATCCAAGAACACTCACAAAGACTTTTAGCATCCTTGAATCCTAAACTAGTGGTTCTCAAACATTAATATGCACCTGAGGATCTTGTTAAAATGCAGATTCTGCTTCAGTGGGTCTCGGTGGGGCCTGAGATTCTACGCTTCTAACAAACTTCCAGATGTTGGCATTGCTGCCGGTCTGCAGACCACAATTTAGTATCAAGGGTCTAAAAACAAGAAAATGAAAGCCAGACACTGACCAAGCCTTACTTTTCTATTTTCCTGAGACATTATAATCTATGTCTTGGCATTTATAATTGACCCCAAGAATGACCTTATGTTGCAAGGTAGAACATATACAACACACGCTCCCATAGGCTGTCAGACACAGCAAAAGCATCTCTGCCCTTCACATAGCAGATGCCCGCAACGGAGCAGCTGAACCTACATTTCTAAATGATCTCAGATCAGCAAAACCTGCAGTGTATGTGATATTATATCAGGGATGGCATTAGGTCTCATCTCACACAACTCAGACCACTTGGGAGGTGGGCAGGATCTTGCTCTGCAGGGGAAGGACTGGTGATACCTACTCTGTACTTGGGCTTGGAGAACAGTCACCCTATGCCACCTATAAATGGTCTCTTGATGAGCTCAAGAAAGGACCCTACACAGAAAAAATCCTGTCAAGTTATTGACTCTCGAGATAGGACACCTAAACCTACTGCCAAACAGTGGTATTCAATGTAAAAATATCATTGATCCGTATTTCAGGATCATGGGATGTAATTCACACAGGAATCATAGTACTCAGTAATGCAGGAGACGAAATCTGTGTTGGCATCTCTCTCAAGTGATAGTTGACTAACAGTGCTCTTTTGGCATGGGAAATATTCTTTAATTTAGCCTTATACTTGTCACTCTGTACCTTAAAAATCCTGAAGAGTTTTTTCATAAAAACTCAACTTTATTTCTAGAACTTGTTCCCAAGGAAGTGATTAAAAATTCAGTGAAGATTCATGCCCCAAAGTGTTCAATGCATCATTATTTATTAGAGTGTAAAATTAGAAACAACCTAAATGTTCAGCTATAGAAGGAGTAAATCACTTATAGGGCAGTTATTAAAATGGTGCTTTGCTGAATTTTTAATGATATAGGGACATATATAAAATGTAATAAGTGAAAGAAAGCAAGAATCAGAGCAATAATAATCCAATTTATATGTATTTGTGTGCTTGTGTATATTCCAAAATTGGAAAGAAATATAATGAATTATTAACTGAATTGTGGGATTAAAAGAGACGTTTATTTTCTTTCTTTCCTTATAATTTTTCTGTATTTTCCAGGTATGTATTTTAAATGAGTATGTTTTGATCATCAGAAAAGATAAGTTAATTTTTATTAACAAGTCCTGTAAATGTACAGTTTTAAAAGTGTAAATTCATAAAAAAATTATAAATTAATTATACAAATCCATGCAAATTTTAAAATTTATATACTTACGAGTAATTATAAATTAACTTTATACACAATAACATTTAAATTTATTAAAATTTAAATAAAGCATGCAATATCTGTTTAAAAATGCAATTATTATAAAATATTCATATGTCAGGCACAATCTGCTAATTGACACTTGTTAATATACCTCTTCCCAAGAGGTGACATTTTATGCTTTGAGTGTGAACATATATTCTCCATGACTTGGATAAGTCACTTCACCTTTTTGGGACTCTACTTCCTTGTGTATGAAACAGAGAGTTGAAATACATACACTGTTCAACTTTAGTAGTCTGTGGTTCCATTGGAATTGCTGAATGTAAGCCTTCTGAGCCTCCACTGTAAAATGGGATAATGAAATCTCCCTCCTAGGGAACTGTGAGGACTAAACGAGGCAGGCAATGTCTGACACAGAATCTGATGCATAATATGTGTTCAATAAATGGTAGCCACTTTGGTTAGTGGTGTCAGGAGGACAAGTTCACCTCCACATTGACAGGAACAGAAGCCAGAGGAGCATTCTTCTGTTCTTGAAACACATGGAAAGCCTCACGTCAGGATTCATCCCAAAGCCTTTCAGGACTGTTGCACAAGGTCTAATTCAAAGTCTTCAGCAGCTAGAGGGGATGATCAGCTTAAACTCACCCCAGAGAGTCCACGACACAGATATTCATGGGAAAGAAAGCTGAATGGCATGTGCTAGTGCCCCACTGACATGTTCATTTCTTCCTAGGTTTACTGGACATGCCCAATAGAAGACGTGGACTCTTTTGAGATGGAATTCTATGAACTCATTAGTTCCCCTCCTAACAATGTGCAGATAGAGCTCTGTGGACAAATTCGGGATATAATGCAGCAGAACCTGGAGCTGCACAACCTGACCCCCAACACCGAGTATCTGCTTAAAGTGAGAGCCATCAACGAGAACGGTCCTGGGCAGTGGAGTGATATCTGCAAGGTACCATGCACTTTATTTCTCAGTTGGAAGTTCTTCATCCACTATGGATGCAGCTCTGTTAGGATTGATCATGAGGTCCTGGAACCCACCATATGACCTCCCCCTCTACTCCCAGAAAACTCATTAACTCAAGGGCACAGAGAGGGCCTCTGGCCTCAACCAACTTTACAAATGAGAATTGTCAGTTCGCTTTGATTCAGAAAACATTTGTGCCAGGTATTGTGTTAGTATGTAGAGTTCCGAGGAAAATAAGACGTAATTCTTGCCTTCAAGGAGCTCAGGGCCTAGCAAACAAATAATTGTGGTGTGAGAAGGACAAAAAAAGAGTTAAGTATTAGTGTCAGTGGTGAATCAAAGCAAGGATAGGGTATCAGATTTAAGCAATATAAATTATAATTAATATAAATTTAATTATAAATTTAAATTTATAATTATACACATGCAGTGAATAAATTTTTAGTGTTAGTATATCACATGCAATGAATAAATTTTTAGTGTTAGTATGCCTCATGCAGTATTTAGGATATACTTATAATACTAAAAAAATTTATTTGTTGTTTATCTGAAAGTTAAGGAATAGCCAGTGAGTAAGCCAGGATGGACTCCAAATAAAGGAAGGGACAAGATTATTCCTATCTTTTTTGTGATGCAAGGTTGATTCTGCTTTATATCCCCAGGGGAAATACATTCATGGGTATAATTTTATTGATATTCAAAGGAGAAAGGGAAGAAAAATGTCAAGACTGCCTAGAGCTATCTTACTGTACAGCCATGATGGTGTTCTTAGGAATCAGAGTAGATTGAGTCTTAATCAGAGACTCTTTAGAAGTAAAGAGAATAAATCCATTCATTTCAGCTATTGAAAAGCCGAGAGAGAAGGGAGTCTCATGAGACCCCTTCCAGCCAGGACATACATCTGATACCCCAAAAAACTGGAAAGTCGTCAGTTTCTCTCAATCTCTCAATCACTCTCTCTCTCTCTGTTCCCTCCCTCTGTGTCTCCCACACCCCCTCCTTCCATTTCTGCTTCTCTCTAAATCTGCACCATTTTCCGCTAAGCCCATTGTTTCTCCTCCCCTAAAGTCAGCTTGCATGTGGTTTTGGAGGTTCCTGGCCCATGCTCTGTGCGACCACCACAGTCTGACTAGCTTCACGCCCTTGGGCTCTGGTCACATGTTTGCAGAAGAGAATCTGTCTGGTTGCTACCTCTGGTGATAAAGGGAAGCGGGAGGTAGAGTTATGCTCTTGGTCATTATACCAGAAACAGGTCTCCTGGAGGGGGGCGGAGGGGGCTCTCTACTCCATCCCCGTGCTCTGCTCCTGGAGCCTGGCACCCATGTGCATCCCCTCCCCCTCCACGGAGGTCAGACACTCACACGGGAAGGACGTGGGATGAGAAAGTCGCCTGGCTGCTCCTCCTGTTAGACCCCAGCCAGGTACCCTGTCCGTCCGTTGCCCCATAGACCAATTCTTGTTGATACTCTTCTCTCCAGAGCACGGAACACCCACAGTTGCTACCATGTTTGACAGCAGGTCCTTTTGACCATGGATTTTTCCTTCAATCTAATTCCATCTGCCTTCTCATTTTTTTAAAACTCCTCATGAAGGGCGCACTCAGTGCTGTTACTAATTTTTTTTACATGTATCTTAAGTCATTTTTAGATGCTAGGGCCAAGGATGGGGGTGCAGAGACGGAAGTGTGTCAGCCTTTCTCAGGTAGATATTTTGTCATCCCTCTTAAACTTTGAACCCCTTGAAAACAAAATTCACGTCCGATTCATCTTTCCTTCTGCCACAATGCTTTACCAGCACTGTGCACATAGCTTAATGGTTCTTAATGGTTATTGAATTAATACATGAGTGAAAATGTGACCAAACAAATGAATCTATGAACGAACGTCTAAATAAATAAAATTAATAATTACAAAGTACCGTAAGATGCCTGAGAGCTGTTAAGTGTTTTTTACCATCGATCAAGAAATAACAATCCCCCTGAAATTGTGTTTATGTGATGAATTTGCGCTCCCTATAAGGGAAGGAAACTCATTCCAGTTTCTTTGCTTTTTAACACAATTTCTTAATGAGCAGAGCGCTAACTAATGAGGTTTTCTGGAAGCTTCATTTTCATCTGACTCACAGAGCTGCAATATAGATTTTTCCTTCAGAAGTAATTCTTCCTCCCTCTTTGTGATTATATTAGCATTCCAGGGGAAGCTTGGCTTTCCTTCACATTTGTCATGATTTGCATAAGTAAAGGCTTCAATAGCAAATGAAAAGAAGACGGTGTGTTTGAATGACATTTATAAAGCTTCATAAAAGTAATGACTTTAGCTCCTTCCTATAAAATCGAAATATTTTTCCTTCAGCATCAGTTCTAAGCAGGTATTCCTGAAAGGTTTCATTTAAAATGCTGTAACAAGGCAGCAGAATCATTTCTTACCCAAAATGCAATATTTCTACCATACATCCTTTTGTAAAGGAAGTGAAATAGCACCTTTTATATTTGATTTTCATAGTCTGTCGCTTGATTTTTTTTAAGGGATTTTATACGTAGTCTAATAGACAAAGCATGAAAATTAACTTTAATGCTTTTTAAAGGTCTCATTTATTGAAGGCCGACTCTGTGTCAGACACTGTATATTCATTGTCACTGATCATCCCAACCGCTCGGAAGGCAGGGAGTTATTGCCTCCATTTTACAGATGAGGAAACTGAGGCTCAGAGAGGAAAAGAGTCTGGCCTCGTGCAACTCGAAGGAGTTGAGTGGGAACCTAGGTCTCATCCAAGGCAGGAGCTCTTCGTTCCCTGTACCATAATCAGATAATCAGATGCAGCAAAGTCTAGGCAGAGTGGGCTCAGCCTTAGGGACCTGACACCACACTCTGGGAGAATGTTGTCAGAGCAACAGCCGTGAGAGCGGCACTTTTATTTTTCTTGCAAGGCAAGATCATGCGTTGGGAAGATCTTTGGACTTGGGCGGGTGTACCTGGGTCCAAGCCCCCAGTCTGCTAGGCGGCAAGCTCAGCGAGGACAGGCATCGTGCTGGCCTTCCTAACCTCTCTTGGCTCCCAAGTCCCCAGCTGAGAGCTTCTAACTCCCCAGCGCCTTGTTGATATTTTTTGAAGGAATGGAGATGTGTTTTTAGGCAAATCACATACCCTGTGACCTCAGTTCCTCCTCCTGCTTTTCATCTAAACCTCAGTTTACCTGATGACCACGGCCCCCATTTTTGAAAACAGCCTCCTCACCTTGATGTCTCCCTCTGACTGCAAATCTCTGCTAACTTCCAGGAAGTCTTCCTATGAAATATCTAACTTTCCACATGCGCACTGGTTTCCTGTTGCCGCTGTAACAAATTAGTAGCTTACACAATACAATTTTACCTATTAACTTACAATTCTGGAGATCAGAAATCTAAGGTGAGAGCAGGGCTGTGTGCTTTCCGGAGGCTCTAGGGGAAAGTTCATTTCCTCGCCTTTTCCGGCTTCACTCAGCTGCCCACATTCCTTAGCTCCTGGCCTCTTCTTCCATATCCAAAGCCAATAACATTAGGCTGAGTCCTTCTCACACCATCATCTCTCTGGTTCGATTCTGCCTCCTCTTCGACTTTGAAGGACTCTTGGGGTCATACTGGATCCACCTGATGATTCAGGATAATCTCCCTATCTTCAAGCCAGCTGACTAGCAACACTTAATCCCCCTTTGCCATGTAACATAAAATGTTCACCTGTTCCTGGGAAGAGGACATGGACTTGGGGGGGCCATTATTCTGCCTGCCACAATCTGAGGTAGACCAGATGTCCCAGGTTACATCAGACTTGGAGGTAAATATTCAGGCCCCAGAATAGTCACAAGCTGGAACTGTTCTGGGTCTTCCCCTATAGCTCTTCAGGAAAGGCACCCACCCTTCGCCCCACCCATCCTCTCAAATTCCTTCTCAATCTATACTGGGTCCCACCCCCCAACAGTGCCTCACGTGTGCTCAGGAAGTGGTCCTGCCAGATAAACTGAGCATCTGCACTACTGCTTCCTACCTGCTCAGGCCACACTCAGGCTGGAACTCCAGCCACGGAGCAGGGCTGCTTGGCCTTCCTGGGCACCTTACCTCGGTTTCATGAGATCCCCCTCTGGTTTTTCCTTCTGTCCCTACCGCAGACACTCTGCCTTAGGCTGAGACACACATCTTCAGGGGTTGGGGTTAGAGGAATTTGAGTGACCAACACTAGTCCACATTCGGAATAACTACCCCAAAACTACCCACTCACCTACCCACATACTCACCGTGACTCCATGCCCTGAAACGAAATCAAAGTGGTTTGCATTCATCTCCTTAGAATTCATTCTTTTCCCAAAGGCCTCTTGATCGTTCACATAAATAGAACCCTATTGGTCCCTCCCTACCAATAGGTTAGAACCCTGGAATGAGTCTAATTCAGGCTCAAGCTGGACCTATCATTTTTAACCTCATACACAGAAGGTTGAATTAGTCAGACACCTCAATTCATGGTCCTTTACCAGTACTGGTGCATGCAAGGCCCTTTTCTTGTTTATGTATTTGTTTCCTTTTGTGACCCTCCCTAGATATCCATTCTAATATGTTTTATGTGCATCTTGCTGCTTTTATGTGTTCTTACATGGAGTGCATTGTTTTGAATGTGTTATTAATTTGCACAAATACTAGTATTGTTACATAACTTACTGTGTCTTACCATTTTCCCCTGAACACTGTGTTTTTAATGATCCATCCATGTCACTGGGCACATTTAGTCCCTAACTCCTAATGCTGCCTCATCCTTTACAGTGTGCGTTTGTTCCCCACGTTTTACCTGTCTATTCAGCCAGGATGGACACCCAGGTGACCTCCAATAAAGCTGCAGTAAACAGCCTCATTCCTGACATTTTGTGGGTGGGATAGGGACGTGGGACTTTCTCTGGGACATTGTATTAGTTTGCTAGGGCTGCCACATCAAAATGCTACAGACTCAGCGGCATAAACAACA